AAAAGAACATTCGATTCGTATTGATAAGGAGACGTGCTGATTAGTTTTTGGCGAAGGCAGGTCCAGTCGTTTCGGAGATACGGGGCAAAAAGTGCCAAAAACGGTAACTCGGTTTTTGAGAGAAAGAAGCGTCCGATTTTAACAATTTAAAAAACATTTTATTTGTACTGACAAGATGAAGAACTGATTAAGGCAATTTGGGAAGGCAGGTCTAGCGGTTTTGGAGATTTAGTGAAAAAAGTAAAAAAAAATGCCTTTTGGCGGTCAAAAATGATCATTAGACATATACACATCAAATTATCATGGATATTGTATAAAATTTTTAAAAATATGTACTAATTTTGTTACAATTTTGTTGGGTTACGTACAAAAATTGTTAAATATCAAAGTTTAAAATTTCAAAATCTTCAGCAATTTTTTTTTTTTTAATTTTCAAAAATATACAATTTTCTATACTTCAAATATAAATTTTAAATTTACAATTCTGTATATCACTGTATATTTTAGGAACGAATAACTATATACTGATTATAATTATCTATATGAAAATGTTTAAAAAAATTGTTATTAATCATTGATCAATATTTATTGTTCACTGATTTTTTTTCTTCGAATATATAGTTCTGGTATGGGATTTTCCAGTAATTTGCCTTAAGGCACGATGCCATACACCACTAGTTGAGAGAACGGATCATCCGATTAGAATTAATTCAAAAAACATTTTGCTTGAGTAGACGGTGTGCAAAAAATGCTTTTACAGAAAATTTCATAATTATGAAAATTTCCAAAAAAAAATTAAGTTCTCAAAAAAAAAATTAGGTTTCAAAAAAATTCAACTTTTGAAAATTTGTCATCATTCAAAAAAAAAAACTAAATTTTGGGAAATTTCAAAAAATATCAAAACTTTTAAAAAAACGATTTGTTACAAAAATTCGAGAATATTTTGTAATTTAAAAAAAAATCTAATATTTTCAAAAAATTTTAAATTCTCAAAAAATTTAAAAAAAACGTTTTTTTTTAAATTGCAGCAAATTTCAAACTTCGAAAAAAATTAATAAATTTTGAAAAAAAATCTAAATTATCAAAAAAACAAAATTATCAGAACAATAACATTAAAAAAAAAATGAACAAATTTCTTGTAAACATACACATAAGTTGTTTGTAGAATACGCTCGTCGCCTAATTTAAAAAGTACTTATAAGTTTACAGTATGTGTTTATAATAAATAATCTATTTGAAAATCTTCAAAACAATTATTGATTATTACATTATTATTATATTAAAACAAATAAGTCCCGTACCTCGAATACGGGAAGTTCCAGCAAATTGCCTTAAGGCACTATGCCACGCGCCCCACTAGTTTATATTTAACTTTATAATTCTATTAAATTATCTGTCCCTTTCCTTTTATCTATCTACCCCTTTTTATTAACTTGTCTGTCTCATTCAACTTTTAATATTCCTCAAATATTTAATTACGGTACGGGAAGTTCCAGCAATTTGCCTTAAGGCACGATGCCACCCACCCCACTAGTTTAAATTAAATTTAGACGATTTACTTGGTATAACATACTATACAATTAAAGTCCTACAAAAAACTGGCTCAATTATAAAAATTATTAATGACCCTCAATCTGACCATCCCTGCTACAATGCCAACCAAGCAACAAACCAACACATACAAAGTGTGCGCAAACGGTTTGTCCCCTCTCTTTTTCTCTAATAACAGTTAGTTCTCTGACACTCTGACAGTCAGTCAGTAATCGTCAGTCATTCGTCATCGTCGGTCAAAGGAAACATATTTATTATAATGATTGTGTAAACGTTGCCATGCCGGCAATTAGTAATAGATATAATAATATAATTCATAATAATTATTATTATTGTTATTGTTATTTATGACGTTATTGATTTGGAATTATTTATTTAAATTTAATAATTAATAAGTGATTTAGTGTTGTGTGTGTCTTAAGTGTTGATAATTGCAATTAGTGAAAAATATTCCGTCCGACAAAGTGTAAAGAAAATATTTACATTTAAATTTATTTATTTATAAGTGCATGATGTAATTTCTGAAGCGGTGGAAATATTTACTTACAATTTGTTGATTATAAACTAGTGGTGTATGGCATCGTGCCTTAAGACAAATTACTGGATCGTACCAAATTATAATTTTATCTAGTTGGTGTTGGTATTTTGCCTTGAGGCAAGTTACATGAACTTCCCCTTATGTGTAAATAAACGACTTAATCAATAAAATGTAAATTAATTTATGAGTTATTAAAAGTATTCCCAATGGATTTATTACACGTATTTAAAAACGAACATGTTAACTCGGAGTATTTTCTAAAAGCAATTTTTCAAAAATCAACAATTTTTATATTTGAACCAGTTTCCGTAGGATTTAATGGTTTAGTATGTTCATTAAGACCAAGTACTAAGTAAATCGTCTAATTTTTAATTTTAACGTCAAAAAAACTACTAATTTTCCCAACCTTCGATGATTTTTTAAAATTAAACTACTTGTCCTAAGGCCGTGATGTTTCAGTAAGTTCTATAAGACCATAATATATATCGCCAAAAAAAGTTCCATGAAAATCGGCTTAAATTTTTTTTCAACAGTTAATTACAAGAAAAAGGCTCGGTAGATTTTCACCTAAAACCAATCAGTATCATTTCCAACTAATATCTTTCGAACAGTTTTTGATTTTTTTAAAATCGATTCGGTAGTATGAGCTTAAATGTGGACGAAAAGTGTAATACTTTTTTTTCCAAATTACAAAGAAACGGCTCGGCTGATCGTCGCGTAAAATTGATAAATGCTAGTCCTCATCGAGATACATCGAATGGCTTTTAAATTTTGAAATCGGTCCAGCCGTTTTTCAGAAAACGTCGATTCACGACAAAAAATCTGTTCACATACACACACTAATACATAGTTTTTTCTTAAATGTTGGTCTCATTCGATTCAGAATAGCTTGAAACGTCCAGGAGAAAACATAAAATTAGCGAATCGGATTTTTTGATGAAAACATAAACTTCTTCTTCGGGAAGTTAATAATAATTACAGATAATTTAAATGTGTTCGAGAGATATCAATTGGAAATCGTCGAAATGAACAGTTGACTAATTTTATTATCTAAATATCTAAATCTCAATTTCAGTTGATTAAGACAATTCTTACACATTTCGGGGAAGTTCATGCACTTGCTTTAAGGCTAAATACCACTTTCAACTAGTTTATTTATAAGTGAATAATGAAATTTATGAGTCGATGAAAAAAAATTTACTTACTTAAAAATTTTAAGAAAATTTAAAAAATGATCCAACTTAATATGACGACATAACCTCAATGTGCCCCATAGATATTTTTTATTCTCGCTCTTTTATCTTACTTGCGGTATTAAACGATTCAGAATAACTTTAAAAGTCGAGACAATATAAAATTAGGAAGTCAGAAAAGCAAAAACTGAACCATACAAAATTTCTCCTTCGGAAAGTACTGGATTTATTTATTTATTTATTCAACGCCCAAGGCAATAATATAATATAATTACATTTTAAAGTGTACAAATTATAAACTAAAGATAATATGAAAAATTTTGAGTATTAAGAGTTCATAGATATATTGACACAAAATTTCAAAATGACATAACCTCAAAGTACCCAATCGACTATTTTTGCTCTCTTATCTTACAGTAAGACAATTTTATCCTAGAATAGGCTTATCTGATAAATATAATAATAATATTGAATATCACAAAAGCAGACTTTAATAGATGATGTAATTTCAATTGTCATTACACTTTTTTAACTTCCCGTAGGGTAAGTTATTGTAATCGTTCAAAGCTCGAAATTAAAAATTTTTACATTTCTTCACGTTTTGAAGGTTTCTGAACATTTTGGCATACCTCAGAAAAATTGGATGTGTGTGTATGGATACAATTTTTCGTCCACGTTTTCGGGCGCACTGACCAACCGATTTGAGTGGTTCAAAAAACATTCCATTTTTATTGATAGGGAGATGTGCTGGTTAGATTTTGGCAAAGGCAGGTCAAGAAGTTACGGAGATAAACACCAAATAACGCAGAAAATAGAAATAGAAGATAAAAAAGTTATTACATCTTTTTTATTTTCCATAAAATATTTTTATAATTTCGGATTAAAAATTCAAAAAATTACCCAGGCTAAGCACAGTCTAAGCGCCACTCTGGTACAAATGTTTACCCAAGTGCGTTTAGACTGTTTATGTACTGGAGCGATTTTCCAATTTTGTGAAAACTATTGAAGAATGTGAAAATGCCGCCAAGCTAAGCACAGTATAAGTGAAAATGTCGCACAGAATTATTTGCAAATGCGTTTAGAATGTGACTACGCGGGAGCACTTTTTCAATTTTGTATAAATTAGGCAACTATTTTTTTTTGAAATTGAATTCGAAATGAAATGACGATTGTTAATGTTCTGGAGATAAATTGATTTATGATTTATGATTTACATTTGATTTGCTCAGATATAACAAGATAGCAATACAAAAATAATAAAAGTTACAGTATTTGTAATAATAATATATTTGAAAACGTTTAAAATTTCTCGAATATTTCATTACGGTACGGGATGTTCCAGCAATTTGCCTCAAGGCACGATGCCTTACACCACTAGTCATATTTAGTATCGATATATTCATTATGATAATTACCGCCCATACTTTTTTAGCACAATGATCAGAATTTATAGAAAATAAGGTTTCACCTAAAAAACGAACTTGAACAAAATTAGTAACGTGTTGCTCTAGAAAAACGTAAAGTATGTTAATTATATGTGCATACCTTTTTTTTTTAAAAAAAAACCCACGTCATCGTCAGTGATGGACAAACATTTTCGTAAATAATTAACAATTATTGTGACGTAAATATTTCCATCTTATTATTCCAGGTGATACTTTAGCTGTGATAAACAAACAATAAACAAAAACATTATTCAATTCTTGCAAAGTGTTTGATAATAGAATTAGTGAATAGTTAATTTAGTGAAACCCAAACCAAATCGTTTATCTATTATCAATTTAAAAATTTAATTTTATTCCTTGTAATGCCTGATAAAGCAATGAAACGTCAACGTGTGTGCGAAGCGGACATTTTTAAATATAATAGTAACAATGGCGGCGGTGTTGCCGCAATGGTGAATGGTAACCAGACGACGGGGTACCATTTTAACCACAACGGCAACACTGGCAATGGCTACAGGAACATCAGGATCAGTGGGGTGCAGGATAATAAATATTTAAGTGGCGAGAGGAACGGGGGATTTGTTAGTCATGTAAGATAATTATTAATTGTCTATTTATTCATTACTTCATTAGTTATTTTGTTAAAATAAATATTTTCCTGGTATGGCTTTGAATAACAAATTTGTGTACTTTGTTCTAGAGAGTTTGGAAATATGTTTTATATTGTCTCAAAATGTTTTAGCTAGTCTGGAAATAATGCAGATAGTTTAAAAATGTTCTAGATAGTCTGAAAATGTCGTAGGTAGTCTCAAAATATTCTGAATAGTCCAAACTTTTTTTTAGGATAATCTGAAACTGTTCTGTATGGTGTGAAATTATTCTAGATAGCTGAAAATGTCGTAAATAGTATCAAAATGTATGAGATTATCTGAAAATGTTTTGATAGTCTTAAAATGTTTTGATAGCCTGAAAATGTTCTGAAAGTCTCAAACTGGTTTGAAATTGTCAAAATGTTCTGGAGAGTCTCAAAATGTCCTTGAGAGTCTCAAAATGATCTGGAGAGTCTGAAAATGTTGTAAATTGTTTGAATATATTGTGAGTCGTCTGAAAATATTACAAGTTGTCTGAAAATATTGTAAATTATCTAACAATGTTGTAAATCGCCTGAAAATGTATTCAAATTGCCTGAAAATGTTGCAACTGGTCTAAGAATGTTGAAAATGTTGAAAATGGTCTAGGAATGTTAAAAATGGGCTAAAAACGTTAAAATGGTCTGAAAATTTAAAAAATGCTGTACAAACGTTAAAAATGCTGTAAAAATTTTGTAAGTGGTCTAAACTGTTGCAGTTGGTCTGAAAATGTTGCCTCTCTGGTCTTAAAGTATTGTAACTGGTCTGAAAATGTTGAAAATGGTTCAAAATGTTAAAAATGGCATAACGATGTTAAAAATGAATTAATGAATATGTTAAAAATGCTGTAAAAATGTTTAAAATGCTGTAAGAATATTGTAAGTGGTCTATAATGATGCAACTGGCCTGAAAATGTTGCAACTGTCCTGAAAATGTTGTAGGTGGTCCAAAAATGTTGAAAATGGTCCAAAAATGTTGAAAATGCTGTAAAAAAATATTGCAAGTGGTCTAAAATGTTGCAACTGGCCTGAGAATGTTGCAACTCGCCTGAGAATGTTAAAAATGGTCTGATAATTTTAAAAATGCTGTAAAAATGTTATAAAAATGTTGTAAGTGGTCTAAAAATGTTGCAACTAGTCTAAAATATTGCAACTAGTCTAAAATGTTGCAACTGGTCTAAAATGTTGAAAATTGTCTGAAAATTAAGTAATGGTTTAAAAATGTTGTAAATCGTCTGAAAATGTTGTAAATCGTCTGAAAATGTTGCATCTGGTCTTAAAATTTAGTAAGTGGCCAAAAAATGTTGCAACTGGTTTTAAAATGTTGTAAATGGTCTAAAAATGTTGAAATAGTTTGAAAATGTTGCTTTTAGTCTAATAATGTTGTAACTTAAAATGCTGAAAATTGTCTGAAAATGTTGAAAATGGTCTTAAAATGTTGCAACTAGTCTAAAAATGTTAAAAAATGGTTTATGAACGTTGAAAATGCTGTAAAAATGTTGTAAGTGGTCTAAAAATGTTGCAA